GGCTGTTTTCTCCCGTGGGCGACCGGAAAGCGCCCCAGTTTTCCGGAATTCAGAGCGCTCGGAGGAAACGCCTGTGGCTAGTGACGTTATAGCAGCCCGGCGGAAATTGCTAAATTGTTTCCTGGAATGGCTCAAGGGCAGAGCCTGCATTCCCGACGCCGCGCGGTTTTTACGGCGCAGGCCTGGAAGCGCGCTGCGCGTGCGGCCCAGCTGGAGGCCTGGAGCCCTCCCGCCCAAACTGCGGAGAGCGGAAGGAACTATAGGAAGACGTTGCGAATGGCTTGGCAAGTTGAGGTTAACTGAAGAAACGACTGTCTGCAGGTTTTTCCTGATCAATACCTCTTCTCCCCAAGTTCACTTTTGAATAACACTTTTAAGTACGAGTCTGTTAGACCTGAAAGACTGACACATGGCCCCAGACATCAAGGAACCTGCTAGCTAGGAATAGTGCCATAATTACACGGTGTGCAAAATACACGCATATAATACGCACGCATATTTTATATATAAAAGTATGCTATATTCTTATAGCATTTTGCCTTTGTGTAAGCTGTTAGTGGGTCAATGGAAGGACATTTTACTATGAACTTTTTTTATTGATTTTAGAGAAACATCGATTTGTTGTTCCTTATTTATGCATTGATTTTTGTATGTGACCTGACCTGGGATCCAACCTGCAACCTTGGCACATCTGGACAATGCTCTAACCAACAGAGCTATCTGGCCAAGGCTACTATAAACTTCTTAAATGCAGACTTATCTCCGGATATGCAGCTCAACACACATAATTCTCATGCCAAAAAAAATGAACTATAGAGGAACTTCAGATACCTAAATCTGGGAAAGCAGACTTTTGGATAGGGGCAGTGGTCTATGAAAAATGATACTAGTGTGAACAACCTAACCTACCCTCATAGGAGGCAGTGAAACAGCAGTGTCTTGTGGAGCCATAAGGAAGCCTGAGGCAGTAATACAGCCAGTGAAAATGTTATCTTTACTTACAATTTTGTTTTATTCACCATAGGCTTTTTTTTTTTTTTTGCACTCTGATTTTAAAATGTTGCACCAAAATATTACTTTCCATTACTGAGTTTTTTGGCCAAAATAAATTGTGTCCAAGTTGAGTGCCTCTCTCACATCACCCTAATCCTGACCGTGGTTATCAGTTACTGACAGCTTCCAGCTTCTCCCAAGCTCCCAGACAATAACTGAGCAGGGTGGGAATTCTAGCACTGTCATTCCTGTCCCATGCGGGCTCCGACACACCTTTGCTTGGGAACTAAAGCGCCATCTAGATTTTTTAAAACTGCACTGAACTCTGAAGCTCACTCAATCCAATCCTTCTATTTCTTCCATAGATGTCAGACCTGCAATATGGTATGAAGACTTCACCTTCTCCTGCTCCCTTCACTTTTATCCTTCATAGATAACCCCCTGCCTGCCCCAATAAATCTCTTGCACATTTAATCACATCTTGACATCTGCTTTTGGAAGACCCAAATTGACACACTAAAAACTGAAAGGAGTGTATTAAATTAGAAAATGTGTAAAAATATAGATTTAAAAATTTTTTTCAGATTCTTAGTTGAATGTGAGATAAGGACATACAATTTTTTAAAATATATTTTTATTGATCTCAGAGAGAGGAAGGGAGAGGGAGAGAGAGAGAGAAACATAGGGAGAGAGAGAGAGAGAAACATCAGTGAGAAAGTCATCGATTGGCTGCCTCCTGCACACCCCTGACTGGGGATTGAGCCTGCAGCCTAGGCATGTGCCCCCACCGGGAACTGAACCTCGATCTCCTGGATCATAGGTCGATGCTCAGCTGTTGAGCCACGCCGGCCCGGCAAAATATACATTTTTAAAGCAAAATACAAAGCCTTTGGATTTTATATATGAAGTTTTAATTAAGAAGAAATGAAAATTTATTCAGATCAATTTATTTGAACTCACATCCAAGAAGAAACAACCAACTTCAGGATTTGAAATAAAAATGGCAACAGTCTTCTTTTTGGGTCAGGGGTGGATCACACAAGCCTAATTGACAAGGGTACTAATAGCTTCGTGAAGTTACTACTTAAACCCTGTATATTCAAGTATACATCAAGTTCATAATTGGTTTATACAGAATTTATCCAATTCTAGCAAAGTTAGCATAATGTAAGTAACCTTCCTTGAGTTTTACACTCTCTTAAGACTGAAAGCTTAGGTTTGATAACCTCTGCAGAATGATTACAGGCATACCTTGGAGAGATTGCAGGTTCAATTCCAGACCACTGCAATAAAGTGAGTACTGAAATAAAGCCAGTCACATGAATTTTTTTGGTTCCCAGTCATATAAAAGTTAGGTTTAACACTATACTGTATTACGTGTGCAATAGCATTAGGTCTAAAAAGTATACACCTTAATTAAAAAATACTCTGACTAAAAATACTATCAGCTGAGACTTGACGAAGGTCATTGCTGACAGATCATAACAAATGTAATAATGAAAGTTTGAAATATTGAATTACCAAGATGTGACACAGAGGCATGAAGCAAATACTGTTTAAAAAATGTGCCAATAGACTTGCTTGACACAGGACTGCCACGAACTTTCAATTAAAAAGCCCCAGTATCTGTGACGTGTAATAAAGTGAAGCACAATAAAATGAGGTATGCCTGTATCTTTACTTCCTGCAAATGTAATCAACTTTTAAAATAACTTAGGCAAACATCAATTTTACATAAACCTTATTAAGAGTAGGAGGAAATTGCAACTCTTCATCTAATTGCAGAGTCTACACCATAAATTCAAATTGTACTGTTATCTCTATTATCATAGCAAGCCAAGAAAATCTATTACAGACTAAAAGACGTGAATGTGAATCTGCAGGGTCCACTAAGGGGACACTTTGAAAATCTATTATCACATCAGCACTTAACAGCTGTAAAGAAATTATTTTCAAGTATGCTCCAAGGGTCACTTCTTAACTGAAGAATTAACATTCAGAAAAGTGACAAGGATTATCTACATTTTATATGGTAGGAAATGAAGGCAGATTTAGGATTGAGTAACCTATTAAAAGTAAAAAAGATTCTGGCTTTATTTGAAATAAGATTCTTGTGCCCCAAATCCCTTTCCATTGGGTTATAGCCATTCGTTTACATTTCTACTTAGAAACCAATGCATTTCAAAAAGTTACCATTTTGTGTACATCTTAATTTGTTAGAATAGTATAGACAGATGCTTGTAGTGTTGCTCATTCATAGTAGGCCATTAAAAAAGTAAACCCTTTGTGCTTTCTGTTCATTCTTTAGAAATAAAAATGATTGCAAAACAGATTATATTAAAACCAAAATTGTAAATTTTCCCCCCTAAAATAGAAACAATCTGCTTGACTTAAAATCTTTTATTAATTTGGGCATTAAATTACCTAAGACACAGGCTATTTTAAATTTCAGCATTATTTTTTTTCTGTTGTCTCCACTTATGTCTACTTTCCTATGAAATTTGCTCTACCAAAATCAATACATAACTGATTTGACTAATTATAGCTAAAAGTGACAAAAATATTTTTAATGGAAACTAAGCGTATTTTTCATGAGTTAGGTCTCAAGGTTTTTGTTTCATAAAAAGGAAGCTCTCTATTATGTGGATCTATAAAATGACCCAAACTTCAGAGACAGGAAGCTGATAACTTGATTTATCTTAATGGCTTTGGCTCATGAATAAATGATAATGGTTTGTGTTTTTCTTATAAAAAGAAATGGAATTTGTATAATGATCTGAGTCCTAATTGCCACATTTGTTCTACTTTTTAAAGGATTTCTAATTTGTAAGACATTTTTTGTATTATTATTTATAGTAAGAAGTCAAAACTTTAACTGAAAGCCATTCTTTGACCACAGTTTACCATCAGCTGAAATTCAGGAAAGAACACAGCTCTGATCACCAAATCAATAAATCTAGCCACAGGCTGACTAAAAGCTTCCTTTAATCTTCTTCCTATTAAGTCTTCCTTTAAATTAAACCATTCCTATTATGAATTATTTAAGTGAATGGTATGGTTACAGAAACATCACACGATTCTTGAGCATACAAAAATGCTCAAGAAACCTAAAAAAATCAATCACCATATTTTAGGAATTATAGTATGAATCAAGATGCTGTAGCTTTAAAAAAGGGAGTTAATGTCCTAAAAAGCTTCAGAGAGAAAGAGAAAAGTCAAGTTTATTTCCTGATTAGTGCAGGGTGATTCCCAAAGCGCAGTTAAGTGTGTGGTCCAGACTGGCTATTAGCGATTAAGTAGTTCCCTTTCACTGTCAAGGCTGTTCCCTGAGGTAATGCCTAAATTCTTAAGTTTAATATTTTATCTTGTTTCTTTTGGCCTCATTCTCTCTAAACAATAAGCCCTATACATTTCCACCATGCCGAATGCTTTCTCAACTCTAGATTTCACTTTTCCAATCGTCACAATGTCTTAGAGCTACAAAATTTACATTTAGATATATTGGTATCTTCCCACACAGTTTCTCTCAAAACATACTCATTTTACTTATATATTGCACAATTACATTTTAAAATGAGTTCATTTCTGAATATTGGATGCTCTTACAAATATGTTCTCACAAAGTAACTGAGAAAGGAGTTAACCTTTCTAAATTCTAATCTCTTACTGCTTTAAAAAAATTAATTTTTTCATTTTCCTTCATGGTAAACAACTTCCTTCTCAAGTCTTTATATTTCTACTTTCCAGGTTTCTTTTTACTGTAGCAAATACCAAAGGAAAAATACAAACCATTTCAGAGTAAATGAGTTTTTTCCCTGCTCTCATTTATTAGATCATCTATTTCAAGGCTATATATATGGCAGTATTTTGAAAATGTTAACAGCTATTTATACCTTGAGAAAATAAGAAAGCCAGAGAATATATATCACAAAGAACGAGTTTGACTATGAAAAGCTACTTGGATTTTGATTTTTATATAAACACCAATTTTTACCATTATAAAAGACAACATAATTATGCTTCATTTTTCTTTATAAAATTACCTTTAACAGAATATTTGTTAATTTGTCATCCCTTAGGTTTTCTGTACTGATAAAAAGTTTTTTTTAAAGAAAAATATTTAAAATAATTGTTTCATAGAAACAGAAAGTCTCATCAAATTCTGATAAAAAAATTATAATCATGGGTAGAGTCTTACCATACTATTAATTTTCTTTCACCAAAGATGAGTATTTAGCAAGTGTAATATTGGTAAATAAGATAAGCTTCTCAGTGATCTAAAAAAGTGCCACAATAAAGATGAGGTAGTATGAGACTTTTCTTTTGTAAAAGGGAAATATCATCTTCAGAAGAGATATTTATCCTGACATTGATGTTGAGATCCTGAGTCACATCACTGCTAAGAGAGGTGCTATTCTAATAGCTACCCTTCACTGGAATCAAGACAATCTTGAGATCACCGAGAAAAAAAAATGATAGAAGATAATGGGAACAGATTTTGTTGGTTTAATTTTGTGGTAATTGCTAAAATTTTATTTTAACACTATTATTGAAAAATGCCTTCTTTATAATGGCAACAGAACTGCAGGAAAGAGAAATGCCACTTCAACATAAACGCAATGATACTTAAGAAACATCTGTTCTAACTTGGAAATTTTAGTAAAATTTCTTTCAACCCAGGTAGAAGCAGTTTCCTACTAGAGCTAAACTGGCATCAAGAAATTAATTACTATGATACTAAAAATGGTAATTTGCCCAGCTGGTGTGGCCCAGAGGTTGAGCATCAACCTAGGACCCAGGAGATGAAGGTTTGATTCCCGGTCAGGGCACATGCCCGGGTTGTGGGCTCCAGCCCCAGTCGGGGGCGTGCAGGAGGCAGCCGATCAACAACTCTCTCATCATTGTTCTTTCTCTCTCTCTCGCCCTCTCCCTTCCGCTTTCTGAAATCAACAAAAACATATTTTTTAAAAATGGCAATTTACCAAGGGGTAAAGAGCTCATCAGAAGAAACAAATGTCTAGGAAATTTATTATTCATTCTTTTAAAAAGAGGGGCTAGATGGGATGTCGCTTCATTTATCTTATATAGGGATAATGGTGTTTCTAAAAACGCTTTCCTGTTCTTGGGACAGTAAATTTAAAATATTACACCTGTTGTCCAGTACTGTTCAATATGGCATAAGCCATGTAGCTCTCAAAATGTTTTTCTTTTTTTGAAGCCACAATAAAGACATGTTAATTCTGAAGATAAGAATAGTTATTTAAAACCTGAAGATCAAAAAGAATATTATGCTTTCTGAATACTAAGCTCTATGTTCACTTCTTGAATCTTTATTCAAGCTCAATTTAAACTAATGAAAAACTACTTAGGGACCAATGAAAATTTGTGGCTGTTTAGAAACTGTGGCCATCTCCCCAAATAACAGGCTGAGTTTCTATAAAAGAGCTAAGTAGAAGCAACAGTTCATAAGTAAATGCAGAAAAAACCCACAGTTGGTTTAGTACTTTAGTAACCACAAATTACTAATAGTGTTATCATTATTTTTAAAGCTCCCAGTGAGAAAGAAACAATATTTATCTTCTGAAGATGGTTAACTCTTCCAGGTTTCAAGAGGGACCTAGTCAAGGAATAACAAATGGCTATGCCACACTGTAGAATAAATTCATCTCCAAAAATGTTATGTTCTCATTTGATTCTTATGGATTAATCATAGTTAGTAATCCTGCTTTAGAGTTAATATTTAAAATACTGTAAACACACATCATTTGATTTTAAGCCATTTTGTTACCTTTAACATCTCTATTAGTAAATTACAAAAGTCAATTACATTAGTATGGATTGTGAAACACTCAGCTTTACTGAAGAATTTTAAAACACCTCTGAAAAGGGGCACAGGGAAACCATATTTTATGTATAGGAATGACAATGGCATAGGTTAACAAAGCATTTTACATGTAGGAAAGGACATAGGATTATTTTTAAAAAAACTAATAGATTATTAACTGTGTTTACAACATCTACAAATTTTCAAATATCCCTGGATCATATGCAAAGTAAAATTAAGAAAAAAAATAAGTATACACTCTATATGATTAAAACAAAACCAAACACTTGGTCAAAAATATCCATTAACCCTTGGTGTGTAACCTTAAACAATTAGTGCATCGTAAGAAAAAAAACTGATCTGGAAGCAAAATTTAGGGTAGAGGTTTATTTTGGACTCTAACTGCCCTTGTCGAATAATTCAAAGTAGCATTAAGAATAAAATATTAAATTCCCATATTCCTACCCTTTGCCTAGCACTGTTGTTCTGGTGCATCAATCCTGAGTACTCTAACTTTCGATTTATAGTGATATTCCTTCAGATATAACTTCATAGAAGAAGGAATTGGAAGGGCATCAATGCCATCATAAGTTGTACAGTTACAAATAACTGTTCTGCATATATGCTGCAGGGAAAAGGGGAAAGTCCGAATTAAAGGAGTGGATAAAAGTGGTTCAAAGAACATACAGGCACTTGGGTCCTTATAATGTTCTAGGAGCCCAGTAATATCAGGAGAATGGAAGACACAAGGATCATGTGCATCAAAGCTAAAGTTGTGATTCCACTGTTCAATTCTAGCATGAAGAGAACGACTATAGCGTCTAAAACTAACTGAGAATAAATAGTCTTCCTGTGCTGAGTCTCGGAGTAAAAAGGTACCCTCTGGTTTTCCTTCTAGTAGAGCTTCAGCTGCGTATTTATCCATAACTCCCCAGTAACAAGGATTGTTATTGATCTGGAGGAGGTCTGGAACAAGACAGTGGACATAATCAATCTGGGTGTGGTACTTAGGAGTTGTTTCCAACTGAAGGAATTCTTCATCCATTTCCCATTTGGGTTTGTTTCTTTTCCGGGAACTTGTGCAAAGTGTTATAATTTCATCATCTGAATCCATATCACTGTCTTCTATGCTGTTATTTGAAACCAGGTTCATCACAGAGCCAGTCATAGGACCACCTCTACATGAATCATTGTTGGTGGTAATGACACAGGGCTGAACATTGGGATGTGAGAAACAGTTCACCTCTTCTTCCATGTTTCTTCTTTGTTTTAGCTGACCATCCCTCAATTCACTCTGAGACAAATCTGTGCTTATCAATTCATCTGGTTTCGGATTTATAGGAGCAGTGTGTCGTTTAATAAAATGCCACCTAAAGGCTAAATCTGATCGAGGTGGGAAAGGACACTTATCTAACATGAGTTCACTGATATGAATTTTTCTTTTAGATGGAAGCCCTGAAGAGTGCCGACTACAATTCTTTATTGGGAAACACTGCCCCACAGCATCTTGCAGTTTCTGTTTAAGAGATCGGCCTAAAAATCTATGCCCACAGGAATGATCCAAATCCAACTCGATGGATGAACAGCTGTGCTTTCTTTCTTGGCTCCGTAAAGGAACTTCAGTTTTCTCTATAGCATTTATTGTTTCAGCATCTGAACAACTTTCACTCTTTTTTGACCAAGATAACTTCTTTCCACTCCACACATAACCGTCCTTTCTGTCAGCACTTCTACTCCGACTAGTTTTGGGCCTGACATCTAAATTTTTACTATTACTTTCACTGTTTTCTGCCATTTTAATAAATTATCCAAAGATTCCAGTGTTACAAATACAGCTTTTTCAGTTTTTCTGGCAGGAAGTTTCTTCTGGGCACTTTCTGGATGTACCTAAGGGAAGAAAAAAATCATTAATAATTTGTCATTCACACTGTACAGTTTATATATTAAGCCCCAATTAGAACCAAGATGAAAAAGCATAAATAGTACATGGAAAAGATGGGATAATTAAATAAACAGCTTTACCATATACTAACAACCTCATAGTGCCATAGAGTCAAGAATTTGAGTTACTTTCTCACAGCTAATTTTCAATGTGGATTGATAAAAGCCAAGCTGCCTCTATTAGCCAAAATATATGCTCAAAATGTGAATAATTTCTAGTCTTGAGATCTTATGCCACTCTCTTCCCCTACCCCTTTTTAATTTCATAGCAGACCAGTGAATTTGTTTTAAGAGACAGAGAGAAATCTATGAGCTAGTATTTGAAGTCCACTATCCTATATAGTTCTTTCACTTCCCTTCCCTTGTTTTTATTCCTATTCACTGAAAATAAGAAGTTTTAAGTTATAAAGCTATTAAGAATTTATTAAATAAGCCCAGCTGGGCGTGGCTCAGTGGCTGAGCATCGACCTAGGATCCTGGCAATCAGGGTTCGATTCCCGGTCAGGGCACATGCCCAGGTTGCGGGCTCCATCCCAGGTCGGGGACGTGCAGGAGGCCGATCAATGACTCTCTCATCATTTATCTCTCTCTCCCCCTCGTCTTTCCTCTCTCTGAAATCAATAAAGATATATTTTTAAAAAAGAAAAAAAAAGAATTTATTAAATAAATAATCACCACTGAATAGTACAAACGCCACACAAGCATTTCCAATGCAGGTTTTTTTTTTTTTGGGGGGGGGCACATTGCTAATTTTTATTTACAAAAGACACAAATAATAGCCATCATATGTTTCAGATCACTCTGAAATAATCAGCATTATCAAATTTCAGCACCCTCAAAATATTTTTCTTTTGCTATTTTTCTCATAGGGAAATGTAAAATATCCACTGAAGTTTTAAAATGTTGAAATGCTCAGTGGTTAGAGCATCAGCCCGCAGACTTAAGGGTTTTGGTTTGATTCAGGTCAAGGGCATGTACCCCAGTTGCAGGCTCGATCCCTGGTCCCAGTCTGGGTGTGTGTGGAAGGCAACCAATTGATGTCTCTCTCTCTGCCTTCCACTCTCTGAAAAGCAATGGGAAAATACCCTTGGGTATGATAAAGAAAAAAGGACTAAAGAAGGAAAGGCAGCAGGGAGGGGAAAAGGGAGGGAAGAAAAGAAATAGGAGAGAAAAAGAAGCTACAGGAAGGAGGGGAAGAGAAGGAGGAAGTCTGAGACCCATTATGACTTCCTAGTTCCCTTGGGATTCAGTCATCGGCACTGGTTTTGAGAAACACCAATTTTAGTCAGAGGAGACTATCTTCTCAGAGTAGGAGAGTTATTTTCCTTCTCAAAGTAGAGCAGGCCCATGTCCTTCTGTAGAGCTTCTTAATCTATCCTTTTGTTGGGAAAGGACTAAATACGTGCTGAAGAAATATTTTAGCTCAGGCAAGCTCCTAACCACAAGTTCTCGGCCAATGATGAATTTTTTGGAGCTGGGGTGGTGATATTTGGCATCAGCTGAATTTCAGAGTCTACTCACATTTTGGTGCCACAAGCTTCTGGGGAGGAGACATCAGGCCAACCTGAGGCAAAATGAAGTTAATCACCCTGACAAGGTTGTAATCTGCTTGAAGCCAGGGACTCGGCTCTATGTCACTCTTTTTTCCAATATCACTACAGAGGTTAGCACACAGTATAAATAGATTGATAATGTGTTAAAAACCACAAAGTATTGTAAGACACCTAGTGAAAAAAAAGCATCGATTCTTTAATTTATGACTCCTAAGGTACATGTGGAAATGGGCAACGTACTATACATTCATGATTTAGATATATGATTCATGTTTCATGTTCCAGTTAACACTTGAACAGCTGACAAAACTCAGAGAATCCCAGTGCAGTTTTGTCAGCTGATTTCAATAACTGGCCAACTTCACTATCAATCTAGGCAGTTTTTGGAAAATACAGAGTTGGACAAAAATTTGGTTATTTCATATGCACACACACACATTCTTGTATTCTTCTTGATAATTCTGACAAGCAGATAAGTTTCTATCGGGCAATGCCTTTCCTATGAAATTGGCTATTCTAAAATTTACAATATAAAATACTGAGTTTTATTAAGACTAATGATTGGTCATAGATGGAATTAACTATTCTTAGGTGGAATAAGACTTAAGTCCAGAATTGGGGGGAAGGGTTCTAAAATTTCAAATGTTTTGAAATTAAAGTTGAATTTTGTGACTAAGAAGATCAATCACAGCTTGGCTGGGTGTGGCTCAGCGGTTGAGCATCAACCTAGGATCCAGGAGATCGTGGTTCGATTCCCGGTCAGGGCACATGCCTGGGTTGTGGGCTCGATCCCCAGTTAGGGGCATGCAGGAGGTAGCCGATCAATGACAACTCTCTCATGATTGATGTTTCAACTCTTTCTCTCCCTTCCTCTCTCTGAAATCAATAAAGATATATTAAAAAAAAGAAAATCTATCACACTCAACATTCTGATTATGATCAAGTTTCTTTTTTTAAAATATATTTTTTATTGACTGCAGAGAGAGGAAGGGAGAGGGGAGAGAGAGAGAGAAACATCAATGGCTAGAGTCACTGATAGGCTGCCTCCTGCACACCCCTGACTGGGGATCCAGCCCGAAACCCAGGTATGCGCCCTGACCAGGAATGAATCGCCATCTCCTGGATCATAGGTCGATGCTCAACCACTGAGCCACGCCGGCCGGGCACGTCAGAGGAACATTAACAATCCCAGCAGTCAGGTAAATATTTAGAGCCACCTGAATCATTTTAAAGCAGTAGGGTTTGAAACAAGCATCTGCAGTGACAAATATGATTGTCATGTGCTTAAAAGTGTGAACTAATGATACAGATTGGCCATATAAAGTACTCCATTTCTAAACATTGAATAGCATCTAGTGATTATACTTATTATTTTGATTTAGTGAGCTCACAGATATATAATTATTTAAAGTCCACAGGGAAAGATATTTTAAAATCTAATTTTGAAAGAAACATCCCTACTTGGTACGCCAAAATTATACTCAGCAGTATGCTTTGGTTATTCACAGACTAGATTCCACTGAACAAAAATAAATAAGCAGAAGCCTCAAAGTAGGCTGAAGAAAATGAAGTCACTGATAAGAAGACACACTTACTTGTTACCGTTTAAGAGTTTATACTTTAATATTTACTTTTTATTTTTTTATTTTTAATTTTTTTTTAATCCTCACCTGAGGATATCTTTTCTATTGCTTTTCAGAGACAGTGGGGGAGAGAGAGATGAAATATCGATGTGAGAGAGACACATCGATTGTTGCCTCCTGCATGGGCCAGGGCCAGGGCTTAAGCCTGCAACAGAGGTATGTGCCTCTGACTGGAATCAAACCCAGGATCCTTCAGTCCACGGGCCAATGCTCTAACCACTGAGCCAAATTGGCTAGGGCTAATATATTTTTCAAGATAAAAAATAATAAAGGAGTTCCAAGCAGATATGTTTTGTTATTACGTAATTTCAACTTTTTTACTCAGCAAGATAATGTAAAAAACATACTATCAAGGTTTGAAATGCCTGCTTTTACTTACTAAAAAAGTACCAAAATAATAGTGTATTAGATATATGACCACCTTTATTCCACTGAGTTTGAGCTCCATCTTGTCTCCATTGCTACCTCTAAATTGTCAGTTCGACATCACAGGTAATCTCCTCTAACCTCTATTCTTTCTTTTTTTTTGAGACAAAGAAAGAGAAACACCAACTGGTTGCCTACCGCATGCACCCCCAACCTGGGATCGAACCCACAACCTGCATATGTGCCCTAACCGGGAATCGAACCTTCCACGTTTTGATGTACAGGTCGATGCTCCAACCTACTGAACCACACTCGCCAGGGCTAACCTTTATTCTTGATAACATTTCCCACCTTTACCAGGGCCTACTTCAATTTTTCTCTGCCTTCAAACACAACAAAGTCCCCTATAAAATCTTTTACTGATTCTAATGCTTCCTTTAGTTATAACTGCTGCTTTCCAATACTAAATTTCTTAATGAGTAGTGTAACTTGATTTCCCCTCGAAATGAAAACAGCTGTGTGTTTTCTTCTGATTATAAAAGAAATAATTATCCGGTTTGAAAATGGCTTAAAAATCTTTTAGCTCCATCCTTTTCTCAGAAGTCAGCCCAAAACAAGAAAAAATGAGAAATAAAAATACAAATCTCATCTTCAAACAAACTGGAAGATACCTATAACCTGAGTCACAACAGACGAGGATATTAAGTGAATGGAGGAGCAGTAACTGACTCAGCAGAGAGGCAGGGAATACCAGGCACAGGGCAACATGAGTGAGGAACAAGGGAGAACAGGGAAAGCCCAAGCCCCAGAGGCACCAGGCGCTGCCGAAAGTGTGGGCAGAGAACAGGGTGGAAACTGGGGAGGGAGGCTGAAAATCGGCAGGAGCAGCTAGGTCCCGCTGGTCCTCACCTCCCCCCACCGTGGACTCCACACGCAGCAAAGGCAGAGCGCAGGCTTCGGACTCAACTTAGAATGAAAAGTTCCCTGCTCCCTGAGCAGCCCGACCCATACCTCCTAATAAAAGACTGAAAGCTACTTCGCCGGAAATAGAA